TGAAATGTTTGCATTGCCCTCGTCAGTGCTTGGAAGGAGGAGTTGGACACTCTGATTAGGACTGCTAAATCATCAGCGAATAAGAGGGTGGTTGGTAAGTTAAGGGTTTGACCTCTTTCGTCTCTAATGCTTTGTAGACGTTCTATTGAGTTGTTTTTTTCTCAGGAAGGTTGAGCCGACTTCCATGACAAAGAGAAAGATAAGGGGTCATCCTGCCTCACCGATCTCGACATTCTATAGAGGTTAGAGAGGAACTCATTAATTTGTATTATGCCCTGAGCGTCGTTGTAGAGGATTGTTACCGATTTTTGAAGTCGCGGCCTACTTCCATCTTTTCCATACACATTTGGAAGAAATCTCAATTAACCTGATCGTATGTCTTTTTAAAGTCGAAGAATAGGATGGCTGTTGTGATCTTCTTTTGATTGATTATTCTGGTCGACTCAAAGAGAGTGATCACGTTGTCTAGAATGAGTCGATCCAGGATAAAGCCCGTTTGATCTAGGTGGAAGCAATTTCCTATTATTCAGTTGATTCTAGTAGCCAAAGGAGTTTGGCAAGGATCTTGCAGGCCACATCTAGGAGGGAGGTGGGTTCGTAGTTCCTTATGTCTTCCTTATTTCCTTTCTTGTATAAAAACGTAACTACCCCCGAGCTCAAATCGGGACCTAGGGACACTTGTTTCCAGGCTCTATTTAGAAATATAAGGAGGAAAGGGTCTAGTGTGGGTCAGCTTGCTTTCCAAAATTCCTTGGATAGTTCGTCTTTGTCTGACGCTTTATTGGTTCTTAGGTCTCTTAGGGCCTCATGTAGTTCTTTCAGAGAAATGAGTGAGTCCAAAGTTTTTGCTGTATCGATGGACAAAGTACAATTGAGGTGAGCTAAGAATTTATCCCTGACGCTTTGTGTTTCGTTGTTTCTTTCAACCGAAGTCTTGCTCGTGTAGAGGTCCTTATAGAAGTTTGCTGCTATGTTGATTAGTTGTGTGGTTTCCGTGGCTGATCTACCATGCTCATCTGACAAACTTTCTATTTTGGAGTTCCTTGCGTTCGACTTGATTTTATGAAAGAAGTACTTTGACATCTTCTTATTCAGTTCCGAGTCCCTTACTCTCACTCTTATTTGTAGGCCTTTGAGTTTAAGTTTAGTCCACTCGCCAACTCTTTTTTGGATTTGGAGTAAAGTTCAACAAAAAAATATGAGTTATTGTTTTGTTGTAGATTAAATTCAGTTACTTCTATAGTGTTCTTTAGTAGATCTTCCCTTTCTTTTTTTTTTAGCTGCTAGCTTCCTTGACGTCTGTGCTACTTTCGAGCTTATTTCTTTGATGATTTGGGGGAATTTTGTGTAGATATCCTCATTAGCATGTTGTTGTGTGGTTTGTGATAGAATCTCGGTTAATTCTTTTTGAAAGTCTTGGTTGGTTAAAAATGCATTATTAAAATGGTAATTTTTTTTACTTAGGTAACCAGTTCTTGAGAATTTGAGGGTCGGTACTACGGGTTTGTGGTCCAGGCCGTTATGGTATGGAGGACTTCCTATCTTGCTTTCTTGTAGGGTGTGTATTAAGGAATTCGATATAAGGAAGAAGTCTATTCTTGACAACAAGGTTCTAGCTAGGGTGGTTCTTCTCACACATGAGAATCTCTTACTATCGGGGTCGAGAAGGCGGAAAGGATCTTTTTTTTTTTTTTTTTTTTTTTTTTTTTTGAGGAAACAAGGCTCCAATCTATTCGTGGGGATCTACTAAGTTTTTCCTAGTCATAAAGTCTGTTAGGTCATTATTGTTGGAGTGGTGTGAAGGGCTGATGAAATTTAAGATTTTGTCCAGGAAGGGGTTCTGAACTGGATTTCAGACAAACATGAGGGTCACATGTTTGCGTGAGGCTGCGTAGCATCGCGCTCGGGCTCGGTGACCGAACCCGAACGCTCGGTACCAAGCCCGAACGTGGCCCAAAATAGTATACTGAATGGATTGGAGAAAATACACAGATGCAGATCAAACACTCATGTCGAACACAAGCGCAAGTGAAAACACTGATGTATATTCTCGTACGAGGTACAACAATACACAAGTACAAAGGTAAGTGCATGCCGGTTGGGATATGGCTCCCCGACCGGTTTCGACCGCAGCCACGCGGTCCTTATCAGGGGGTTACCACCTTACACACCTCTTCATCTTACCACCAACCCGCCCTCGTTGTTGACCGTCTGAACATCTCCGGAGATACTCAGCGATCAACAACGTAGGTCCCAAGAAAAGACCAAGATGCACGCACTAATTCCTATTATAGTTATCTCCCTTGATAGCCGTGACTATCTTACTAGCACAGTCACCATCAGTCCCACTATGTTCCTAAGTCCCCTACTACGTAACGAATTGGTCCAAAAATCCTAGTCCTCTAGAAAGAGCGACTGACAAAAACAGCAGATACCCGGTTCGAAGTTCCTACTCGAAACACCCGGGTCATATCGGCAGTATCCAGAGACGTCGAGATATATCATATAAAACACAAAATTTGCCAAGGTACGAAGTTCGAAGCCCACCTACTGAGCTCAAGGCCCGTACCTCCTATCTGTATCAATTAAACACAAAACAAAAACAAAACACACAGGTGCTAAGTTCGAAAGAAAACAACAACAACAACCGGGTTCGAAACTCCCTAACTCCTATCACACCCTCGCTCATCAATATTAAACCGAAAACAAACAAGACATGTACGGTGTTCGACGCTCATGATGCCGAGCCAAACCCATACCACCTAGCGCAGTATCAGCCGACAAGCCACGTATTAAACACACAAATCATGGTCCTACCGCAGGTACTGGGTTCGAAACCAATCGCCAGGTCCGAGGGCCCGAACTGCGTAGCTCAAACCCTGCGCATACATTATTCTCCCTAATGTTCTCACTCTCCGCAGGTACTGGGTTCGAATTCCACTACCAGGTCCGAGAAACCCGAACTGCACAGCTCAAAACCCTGTCCATACATTCTTCTCCCTAAATCCTAGCACACCCTTGCTCATCAGTAGTAAAACAGGGAACCAAATATGGACAGGTACGGTGTTCGAGGCCCAAAAAGCTGAACCAAGCCCCCACCAAGCCCCCACCAGCTAGCACAGTATCAGTCGACAAGCAAAGTACTAAACACACAAATCTCAGGTACGGTGTTCGAGGCCCAAGATGCCGAACCAAAGTACTAAACACAATCTTCCAAATGCCAATTCAATCCCAGCCTTACTAGCATCACAGCAGAACACAAACACTCCGAATTCCTTCCTAGCTTACAGCTAACAACACATCAGATCCCAAAACCCAGTCCATATATTTACCCGACCTGTGTACACTAAGTTCAGATACAGTTATCAACTCCACCCGTTCATTTATGAAAACAAACAGAGGCATGCCACCGATCCATGGGTCTACCTAACCTACACACCGCCCTTACTCAATCATAGTACACGACAACAATACAGCAAAGATTCAGCCAAAGGACAACAGAAACGGAAACACGGATTGTACTATGTCACTGCTGATCATCAGTCGGGGTAGAGCCACTGCACGATCCAACTCCAAATCCTGTCACGTCCTTTAGCATAGCTTTTGACGACCCGTTCCACGAATCTTGAATGGGAAATCCTTCATACGCAATTCCCTTGTCAAGCTCAGTACTTGCATGGGGATCCTCGAGCGTATGTTAGTATTACGGTCGATCCTGTGTAGGTGGCAGGCTATGACTGCGCTCTTTTGCTGCTTACTACCCTAGGATCTGAAAGACTGACCGTTTTTAAATTTGAGTACTTCATCTTGCCAAATCGTACGCTCGTTCTTCGCCAATTGGTAGCAGGTCAGATATGGCTGTATCTGACTAACACACACCCTTGTGCCCAAAAAGTCCCAAGTTCCCGACCCATCGTCAGTCCGCTTTAACTGCAGATTTCGTGGGTAGCACCGCTCGAACAAACGGCAGATATCTTCAACAGATGATCGGCTCTGTTTTCGATGTAGCACCACCAGACTGACATCATCCATCAATCGAATCCCAAACACATCGCGTCTAGTAGGACCCAACTCCTGCAAAAAATTGAACTCCGCGTAGGCGCACATGATACAAGCGAGTGGTGGGCTTGTACTCTTCCCCATCGGGATCCCCACCACTTGCCTCAAAAGGACGACAGTCGCACGTGTATACATATGCTTCAAGTCCAGGTCAACAAAACGTCTCACCTCCTCCAAGTCGATCTTCCGCCAATGGTCGTCACCAGTTGTCCGTCCGAAAGTGCATCCCTTCCCCCTCGTGTTCACTCTCGCTGATAGCCTCCCCTTCCCCTCATGGAAGTCCACCAACCAATGAACTGCGTCCATGATATCCTTATGAGGTAATTTACAAAACATGTCTTTGATGTCATATGACATCGCAGACAGTTTTGCACAGAGACCCACCCTTCTCCCAATCCGTTTGTTAATCCGCTCCAATTTCGGAATGAGAGAAGTCACCGACTTGAGATTGAAGTGTCATTCGCCCGGTAGTGTGAACAGCATATGGTTAAGTACCTTGGCCACCGCCCTCCCTGTCTTCACCGTTGGTTCAGAGTAAGTAGGACAGATCGGGCGAAAACGGTTGAGGTCCTTATGCTTAGGTATAGCATAGGCCTCCCCGATCTTCCCTTTCTTATCCCAACGTAAAAACTTTGCGAGTCCCACCTCCTTTGCTTCCAGCTTCATCATTGCCATCAGAGCCTCCTCCGATTCCCTCTACACTACGTATCCTGGACTTCTTACAAATAATGCCAGCATAGCTTCATAGTATACCTTCGGGCAGATAACCAAGGTTTCCCCCGGGTTTCTGTCCAAAGGTGTACACACTAAGCCGATGAGTCTTTGCTTCACACGGTGTACTTCCTTACTGTCCAAACATTTACTCGTTAACTCGTCTGTAGCAGTCATGCATGCTTCCACCTCTTCGCTGTCCAACCTGAGTCCCGGTCCTCAAAAATTTGCCCAGCCTTCTATCCCACTCCTAATCTCACTCAACAACAGGTTAGCTCTATCAGGGTGCCTGTGTTTGGGCACATTGTTAGCGTTCACCATGAGCGGGTGAACGTCTTCCAACTCATGCAGTCTAGCTTGCACGTGTCCATCTATCCGTGGATAGGAAAAGCCTGCACATGTGCAGGTAGACACTTCTGAATGGGCATATGCCCGCTGATTGTGTAATAAGTCCGCCACCGATGGGTTCTTCACCCAAATGATGCGAACTCCACTACGCGCAAAAACTTTCAAGCATGCTGGGATATCCATAGCTTCAATCCTATCATTGAGGAGTCTACGAACTGCCACCACTCGGATCCGGTCGTCGTACTTCATCTTCACTGTCAACTTGGAGTTGACATTCCAACCAAAGTCGCATTTCACAACTCGACAAATCAGTCGTCGCAGATACGCTGTCATTGCTGCCTTTTGAAAATCATCGGCAGATCTCATCAGCCTCATAAAGACTTCCAGGCTGCACTTCTGCAGCAGCTCGATCCGGCGCCGGTTCCGTAGTAAGGAAACCAGAAAGGGCTTGTCCGAGTTGATCTTCGGACGCCAACGTCGAAGGTGTAAAACATCCACCTTAGCCCCTGCCTCCATGTCCTGTTTGCAAGCTTGCAGCTTACATCTCCGTTCGTTAACGTGTACCTCCGATTTACCAAAACTTGAACGGATTGACTGCCATCCCCCGCACCAACAGCTCCCGCCATGTATATACATAGAGAACTGCCTCCGTTCGGCACATTCTTGTGCGGATAGCAGTTGATAAACATTAACGCTATCCTCGTCATGTTCCGATAGACTAGCCTTCACTGGTAACACCCGCTCAGATGTACAGGTAGTCGGTCCTATCGAACGTGTCCTATCCCTCTCTCTCCGGCCTTTCCTCCTACGCGCAGTACCTTCCCTCGTAATCGTCTTACCAGTGGTGTTCAACGACGGACTCCATCTACTTATATATGTCCCCTCAATCAAAGTCAGGTCCGGCTGTGAACACCTATCAACTGGAATTAGGACGTAAGACTCTGCCCCAAACGACCTCCACCACCTATACAGATGGTTAGTTTTACGTCCCCGATTACATACCGATATATGCTCCTTCCAGCGTACCTTCCCGTTCCTAGATGTTTGCCCAACATATTGGGCACGACATAGGGGTGAGGTAAGGATATATACGCAACTACCCTCGTGGTTAAGACCCTCGATCCCAAAGCGTCTATACAAATCAACCTAAGCAGCGACACATTTTCTGAGCCAGCGAATCTCGTCCCACAGCTCTAATGCAACAATCACAAGCCTGAAGAGTAATTCCATGTTCTCATCCTGACTTCCCTTACGACGTATGTCAACCAGGCGTCCACATAGGACCCAGAGCTTACCTGGTGTTCACACTTCATATGCTGCATCGCCTTCTTCATCCTTATCAACCTGTTCACCGACGACTCCTTCCACCTCCTCCAGCTCCTGCTTCTCCTCGTCCCCATAAACCATCAGTGTTCGTTTCTCGGTAATGGCGATAATTGCTTGCATTTTCTTGCCATCATAGCGTACATCCTCCGACACACAGATGCGCTTTAGTTCCTCGACATTGAGATCCCCCAACCGTTTAAGGTTCTCAGTTACGAACTTCAACTTACCTACCGATCCCGGGGCAGCCGGGATCTTCCTTCTTCCCGACAACAGTGTCCTCCGCGGTGATGTCTTCTTCATCTGTTGGTGTCTGCATCCAAGTTGCAGTCGTCGCTTCGTCATACGTTTCGCCGGCGTCACCATTGGCGGACTATCCCCTACGGGCTTATCCGCACTACGTTTATGCTTCTCGCTGATGCCGAGATGCTCGGTCTGTCGGCTTAGTGTGTCTACGTCACTGTCATATGATTCAGCATCATCTTCGTCCGTCAATGGAGATTCCACAACACTCGCTTTACCTTTCTCGCGCACCTTAGTCTCCCGTTCATAACTTACCTGTAAAGATTCCCCGAGCTTGCCCATATGGAGAGAGATCTCCATCAGCATCTCCTTCCTCAGCGCTTTCCTCCTTTCCTCCTCTTTCCGCTTCTTTTCTTCCTTCCGTTTAGCTTTACAAGTCACTGCTTGACGTGCTTCCTCCGCCGCCAGCCTTTCCTCCTCTTCGCGTTTCAAACGCTCCTGTTTCTCTTGTTTCCGTTTCCGCTTCTCCTCTTTCTCAGCTTTAACTGTGTCGAAGCCTTCCTTCATAGTCGCGATTGAAGCTGCTAGTTCGTCGATCTGCCGCTTCATCACCGGGTCTTCCGATGTTGCCCTTGGTATCGGTGCTCTCACATGCGATCGTGGAGACAACGATCGACCTCGTTGTCGTGCATATCTACCGCTATCCCCACCAAGTTCTGGGCATTGGTTCCTGTAGTGGCCCGGTTCGTCACACTCGTAACACACGGGAACAAAACGTCTAGCAGCCTCGTCGTGCCTATCGGATTGGCTCGAGCTGCCACGTTCCCAAGAGCGCTCTCGTCTGCCTTCGCCAGGTCATTGCCCGCCACCATCGTGTCTCATATACTCGCCTCCTCGGTCGCTCCCTCGTTCTCGACGACTATCCCGTCCATAGTCATTGTAATTAGAGCCACCCATTGCAGATACGGTGCGCCGCCACTACGAAGTACATAAAAATTAACCCACCCCTCCGTCAACTCGATCACCCATTCCCGAGTAACACCTGGATTCGCACTCCCGAATGAGGATCGGTTCCACAGTGTAACGCAATAAGTCACACTCTCTCTTCGTCGTACACAACAACAAAATCCGAAATCCGTAGCCATCCAAGTTTCGTCAAACACCTATCAACGAACGTATCAACAAACATACCAATGACCAGATCGTGCTCACACTCGCCCGGCGTCTGCCGAGAGGGTTCACACTTGCCTTCAGAGTATATTGGAGAAAATACACAGATGCAGATCAAACACTCATGTCGAACACAAGCGCAAGTGAAAACACTGATGTATATTCCCGTACGAGGTACAACAATACACAAGTACAAAGGTAAGTGCATGCCGGTTGGGATATGGCTCCCCGACCGGTTTCGACCGCAGCCATGCGGTCCTCATCAGGGGGTTACCACCTTACACACCTCTTCATCTTGCCACCAACCCGCCCTCGTTGTTAACCGTCTGAACATCTCCGGAGATACTTAGCGATCAACAACGTAGGTCCCAAGAAAAGACCAAGATGCACGCACTAATTCCTATTATAGTTATCTCCCTTGATAGCCGTGACTATCTTACTAG